TTTTTTTTTTTTTAAGGAAAAAACCAGATATTTCCTAACTGAACTCCTAGGATGAGAAGTAGAGTTAGTGAGGTGCTGGAGAGCCCCCACCTTCCTTTCAATCAGCAGACCCCTTCTTTACTTCACAGAGAGGGCTTCAAATGATTAAAGAACATGAGATCTGAAGTTGACAGAACTGGGTTTGAATTCTGGTTCTGTGGTTAGCTCTGTGATCTTGAGTATATCGCTTAACCTCTTCTGGCCTCGGTATCTTCAGTTTCTATGTAAGGACACTGATCACACAGTATTGTGAGGATGCAATGTGAAACCACAAGGATTATCTGTCTTATTAGCTATGATTATTTCACTTGATAAAAGTGTTTTCATAGCTAAAATCATTTGAAAACTACAGACTAGTCCAAGCTTTCATTTTAAAAATGTGGGAACAAGCACTTAAGAGACTAAGTAGTTTTCTGATTAAGTTTCACAATTTCAAAACACAATACGATTATTTATGTAAAACAAGACATGCTGGTCCTAATCTTTTACAGGTGTATCCCTCCCTAGTTGGGGAAACTTGATATGTCACCATGTGAATTTATAAAGCTGATGAAATACAAAACAACTCTTCACCTAATAATTCAATATGCTAGGTAGTTCATTTTAAATTTTAATTTTTATCTTATTTGTTTGGCTTACAAAAACAATTCAGAACAAGTTTGTAAAATTTAAACAAATGATGTGCTTAATTAATGATTCTGTTAATGCAGTTAAAACGTCATTTAATAAATAAATATAAGTGGCTTTGTAACTTTTCAGCCACAGATTTAATGCCTTGATTTAATTGATTTGGCAGTATTTCGGTTGGGAACTTTCACATTCACTGAAAAGCTGTGTAGGCTGCCAAGTGGACGTTTTAATGAAATGAGAATTCACGGATCTGTGACCTTATGATATTGGTGGCTCTGATAACTATTAATTGAAAGAATAATTTAAAAAGTGTTCTGAGTCTAACTTCATATGTAAAGTAAATTTCGTTATATCTTTCTATGTAAACCCATCTTACACTTAACTTCTGTTTCTCACAATTCTAGGGTTTCAAATAGTTATTTTTAAGGAAATGCGATTTTATAATGATAGAATCCCATTGCAACGCCACATGCTCCATAGTCCAGATTCAGAGACACCTCAACAGTTCAAGGACTGGTTTGATTAGATGCATGATGTTCTGGCTACTTTGAAGGTTGCCGTGGTATTTAGGGAGAAGCAAAGAGGCCCCTGGAATCACTGTCACTGTCCCCTTAAAAAAAAACTACCCAGGCTTCCCTGCGGTCCGCTGGGGCTACTGCAGTTGCTGATGCTGACCAAGGGCGCAGGCGCGTGCACCTTGGGGGCCAGGCAGGCTGGTGCAGCTGTGCAGTGGGGGCTTCAGTTCTGTAGGGCAGGATTTACCCACGAGGCATGGGAATCACGTGTCTAGGGGCCATGATATTGGGTAGGAGGAGCTCATGAAGATTATTTAAATTTAATCTCTTTTGAAACCAAAATAAATGTAATTATAAAAATGAATAATGAATCCAATGTATATTACATTTGTTTTTATACTGACAATCTTGAAATATAATTTTTTAAAAATTATTTTTAATTGACCAAGAGGCCGACAAAAGCCAAAATGCCTATGGCCCATGAAAGTCATAATGTATCCCTGAGTTACAGTCCAAATTCCAAGAGTCCTAAATTTACTGTCAGGGGAGAGGGAGATGAGGGGTAAAGTTGGAAGAAAAGGATTCCTGTCCAGAAGGCAGACACTGGTCTGGGACCTGAGATGGATGTTGGGTGAAGTCTTGGTCCATCTGGGCTTGGGTGGACTATAAAAGAGGTGGCATGGGCATCTATGAATTATTTTAAATGACAAAACGGGCCTGGCCATACAAAGACCTTGACCTCATAGCCACTAGCTTCTAGCCTCTGACCTGCCTCCCAAATCTTCATAAATGGATCATTTTACTCCCCTTGCTGTGGTCTCCAAAACATCTTGTGGTCTGTGCAATATCACAGATCTGGACTGGTAGGCTCAGGGTGGGGAGCTGGGTGTTTCCTCTCATACAGATTGGGGGGTGGGGGGCATGGGGCAAGAATTATGTTTCAGGAAAACCAGTCGCTTGAATCAACGTTTCCCTCCCTGGGCAGTAACCGTTGGAGCAGTTCTGAGATTTCCAGGCAGGTGTCTCTACCTGGACCTCCAGGATACAGGAGATCACCCCCTGGGTGAATTGCAGGCCTTGATGGTTAATGTAGAGAATCTTTTGCTGTGGGCGAGAGGGGAAGGCTGTTTCCAGCTTTCTCTCCCCAGACAGTGACACTGTGGTCTGACACCCTACGTACGCCCTATGGTCTGAGATTCTGGGGGTGGCCCCCGTACCCTCTGGGCCGCCAATCCAGAGCGGGGGTCTTCAGGGGCTTTCCCCCAGGAGGGGTTGGGAGTTGTTGGGGGGAGGGGGATGGAGGAGGGTTGCTGGGTTCCTGGGTGGGGAGTGCAGTGGAGATTCTGTCCACCAGGTGGCGCTGGGCCAGCTCCAGCAGTCCCTCCCAACCGAGGAAACACTGTGAGCCTGATGGTGTGTGGCAAACAGCGTCCATCCATCATGTCAGGGTCCCAGGATTAAGTGGTGGTTATTCGACCACAGGGGTCACCAAGGCGGAGCTCACCCTCAGGCCTCTCCTTGATCCCTTCATTGGGCTGGCTCTGGTGGGACGTAAGGGGAGGTGTTACTACTGCATTCATTTCTATGTTCATTTATGGATTCATCTTTCAGCCTTTATGGAGCCAGGCTTGGGTACATAGATGAATAATATATGGTCCCTGCTTTTAAGAAGCTCAAAGGGAGGGGGAAAAAGCAAATAGACCATTGGCACACAGTGACAAATGCTGGGCTAGAGGTCTGCCCAGAGGGCTGGCGGGAGCCGTGAGGCATGTGCCGGACAGAGCAGGGCCGGCCTCGCTGGGAAGGTGAGTCTCGAAGGGTGAGAGGGGCCAGCCAGGTGGGAAGGCAGAAAGGATGTGTGAAACGCAGAGTGCTGGGGCCCGCCAGCCCCGGGTAAGGCCAGGCTTAGGGTCCCAGGTGGGGATTGAGAATCCCCATCTCTCATGGAGAGATGAGGGCGTCAGGTTGGTGCCTGAAAGCCAGGATTCCCCTGCTAACAGGCGGAGATTATTGCAAAATTTCCTCAAGGGAGAGACATAGCCAGATTTGAATTACGCAAAGATTGTGTTAGAAAACGCCGCGGGAAGAAAGAGCCACCTCTAAGGACCGTTGGTGAAGGCCTTTATTGGGCGGTCGCTCTCGGGCAGAGCTCCCGGGGGCGGGTGAGTGAAGAGACAAAGGGAGTCTGCAACCTGCGGGAAGGGGGGCGGCACCTATATACCCTGGCGGATACGGAAGCGGCGGGACCTTTTCGAATATGCTTGGAGTCAGGCTCTAGGGTGCTGATTGGCCTTTTGTCCCATGTCGGTTTTTCTTGATTGGCCGGAGTCTTGGCACCTTCGTGTCCATCAGTCTGCCTGGCAACGGGCTGCTGATTGGTGGATGTCTCTCCCTGGTACTTATCTGGGACCTTTTGGCGGGGGCAGTCAGCGTGACCTTTCATCCCGGCCTTTTTGATATAGGACAAGGGGCGACGTTTGTCTTCTGGCTATTTCCTGCTGGACGGGGGCGACGTGGGGGTCAGGGCCGGTCGGGATGAAAGGTCAGCTTATGCAGGATTGTGAGGTGGGTCTATGTNTTCCTGCTGGACGGGGGCGACGTGGGGGTCAGGGCCGGTCGGGATGAAAGGTCAGCTTATGCAGGATTGTGAGGTGGGTCTATGTCTTCTTGATTGAGTTGAGTGTAAGCTGTTAGTATCATGGCCCGTTCAGTCGCGGCCTGCGCTATTTCTTGGACCCTGCGAAAAACAAGTTGGAGGAGGCAGGGGCCTATGGTGAGGCCCATAACTAGTAGGAGTATAGGGCCCAGGGCGGGTAAGAGGTAAGGGAGTAAACCATTGAGCCCGGCCCAGAGGGGGCTCTCTTGGAGCCGGCGCCTTTGTTCTAAATCGTCTTGCAGTTCTTTGATCTTAGTCCGGACTGTTCCAGAGCGGTTGGCATAGAAACAGCATCTTTCTTGCAAGAAAAGGCCTAAGCCGCCCTCTCGGGCAGTGAGGAGTTCTAGCCCACGTCTATTTTGGAGGGCAGCTTCTGCTAGAGAATCTATCTGCCCCTGAAGTTCTAACACGGTGTCAGCCACATGTTGGACATCTGATATGATCTGTTGGGAGAGTTTGGCGTACGTGTGCTGTGAGAGGCCGATCCCTGCCGCCCTCACTGCTAGGCTGGTGGATAAGCCCAGTCCCACCAGCAGGGGTACCATCTGGACAGCTCGTTTTGCCCTCCCAGCCACATGGTCTAGAGTGGGCATGGGGACTGGTTCTTTTCCCGATATCAGGTCAACGTCTGGGAGCAGAACTGTGAGTACGCAGGTTCCAGTCCAGTTTGTGGGGAGGAAAGTATAGGCCATGTTTCTTCCACAGATAAAGCCCAGGGGATGAGGGGCGTATATTGAGGTGGTGATGTTCTGTATTGTGGTGTAGCTGGCAAAGTCTCTCACCCCCACGTCTATAGCTGTCTCATTGTCCATTATTTGGCCTCTTAGGCAGTATTTTATTGAGGCTTTTATTGGTTGTACCCGCAAGGGTGGTGTCACTTTACACGCTGCTGGGTCTACAGAGGTGTTGACCGGTTGGGAGAGGTTGGCTGGCACGGCTAGCGGGCGAGGGGTTCTTACGGTTAGGCATATCCAGCAACTTTGGGCCCACTCGGGGCTGGACTGATTTAGGGTGTTTTATGTTACTGTATTAAGTTTGTAGTGGCTGGGTCTAATTGTAAAGGACCCTGCCGATCAGGCAGGGCCAGGGGATGGTAATGGACTTTTGGAAAGTAATGGTCCATTACTTTTTAGAGTCTTTGTTAGGCTTGTTTTTTTTCGTGCCATATCTTGGACTCTTCTGCCATCTGAGACGTGTATGGGTGCCTTTAGGTTCTAGCAGACCTCTTTACCTGTCTTACTTGGGCATGCCGGTGAGGAAAGGTGGGGGCCCAATGAACCAGGGAAGTGTCCTGTCTGGGTTGTAGTTTAATAAATTTTGTTCGTTGGGCCCCTGCATTGACGTGCTTGTTTTTTGAGGTAGCATAGAGAGTGGAGAGTTCTTTCATATTCTAAGCAGGAACAATTTTTGAGCTGATCTGAGGGCAGGGGCTCTGGGGGCAGAACAGCAGGCACGCATTGTCAAGAATTGGCCTTTCTAATGTATGTGTACCCCTCTGGAGAAACCTCATATCTCTCTCCTATAAAGTTGTAAGCCATTTTGTCTCTGCAGTTGACTGATTGGATGTGTCTGGCCCTTTTCTCGGGATATTGGGAGAGAGAGTTCCCTGGCGCAGTCGCAAGGCTTTTTCATTCGCCTGGCCAGTATTTGTCTCGCTTTAGCCGGGTCATCAAATCCCCCGTAGGTCTGACCAAGGAGCACAAGCAATAGAAGCGTACCTGTCATGTTCTGATAGCAGGTGGAAAGGGGGTCCGGGAGATTTTCAGTTTTGTGGGCCCCGTTAGGGAGGACTGGTATGTGTGTCCTGGCAAAGCCCCTGGACCTGAGTCTAAGCCTGGCTCTCTTTCTGGAAGATCTGGGGGAGCTCGTTTGAGCCTGGTCACGTGGTACCAGGGTTCGAGGCCTGAGAGCTTGGCTGCAGTAGGGGTGGTCAAGACCACTGTGTAAGGACCCGTCCAACGAGGTTGGAGGGGCCCGGGAGACAAGGTCTTGAGTAGCACCTGGTCTCCGGGCGACAGTGGTCTGATGGGGCCGTCACCGTCCCTAGGTTGTGGCAGGACCCGATCTGCGTGTTCCCTGAGTAAGGCGCTCAGGCGGGTGAAGAGGGGCAGGTAATTGGCCAGGGGAGGTGGTTTTTCTGGGGGCAGATGGGTCAGCAGGTAGGGCCTGCCGTACAGCAGCTCGAAGGGGGTCAAACCTGTCTTTGAGTGCGGTGTTGTGCGGATGTGGGTGAGAGCCAAGGGGAGGAGGTCAACCCAGGAGAGCCGCACTTCTGAGGCGAGCTTGGCGAGGTGGGCCTTGAGGACCCCGTTGGCCCGTTCTACTTTACCCGATGACAGGGGCCGGTACGGGATGTGAAGATGCCAGGTGATGCTGAGGGCTGTAGCTACCTGCTGGGTTATCTGCGAAACAAAAGCAGGTCCTGTTATTGGATTGGAGGGAGTTAGGGAGTCCGAACCGGGGGACAATGTGTTTGAGCAGCGTTTCGGATACTATTGTGGCTGTTTTGCAGGAGGTAGGGAAGGCCTCGACCCATCCTGAGAACGTGTCTACGAGTACCAGCAGCTAACAATAAGCCCGGTGTCTGGGCATGTGAGTGAAGTCCACCTGCCAATCTTGACCGGGCAGATGTCTTCTCAGCTGGTGGATTTCTTGGGGGGGCCGGAGCCCTCTTTGAGGAGAGATCGTTGCGCAGGTCAGACAGGAGCGGTGTACGGTCTGGATGGCCTGCCTAAGATGAAGAGGGGAGAAGAGCAGGCTAAGAAAAGTTAAGAGAGCTCGCGGTCTGATATGGAGGGTGTCATGGATCTGCTTTATGATGGTGATGGCTTGTTGTTTAGGGAGGACCAGTTTTTCGTGGAGGGTGATCCATCCGGAAGGATGTGTTGGAACGACGGCCTCGTTAGTAAGTCGGAGGTCTTGGACTAGTCGGTAGGCCCCTGAGGCCTTACGGACTGGAAGGATGGGGGTGTTACATGGGGATGAGGTGGGTACCAGTAGGCCCTGTCCCAGGAGGCGGTCGATGATTGGCTTAAGTCTTTGAAGGTTGGGCTGGGACAGGGGAAACTGGGCCCGAGCCGGAAAACAGGTGGGGTCTTTTAGGTGTATGAGGACTGGGGGTTGGTGTTGGGCAATTGTTGGGATCTTGGTATCTCACACCTGGGGATCTATTTGGGCGTCAGAGGACCCGATTAGCAACAGCAGGAACCTGCCTGTGGAAGGAGAAGGCCCTGGGGTCAGGTGAAGTGTGGCCTTGAGTTTTGTTAAAATGTCTCTCCCTAGTAGAGGGGTTGGACAGGAAGGAATAACTAAAAAGGAGTGGGTGAATAGGCAGTTGTTTAATTGACAGTTTAAGGGCTTGGTCTCTAGGGGCCATGATGACTGGCCGTCAATTCCCATTACTGAGACCCGGGAAGGATGTAAAGTGCCTCTGAAAGAGGGAAGGACCGAATAGGTAGCCCCTGTGTCAACCAAGAAGTTGATCGACTTACACGCTACCTGGAGCATTACCCTGGGCTCAGCTTGGGTTATTGGGGTTCCCGAGTCTGGGCGGCGTCAGTCTTCATCGAAGGTCAGCAGTTGTAGTGCGGGGTCTGGGCTTGGAATCACCTTAGGTCGCTCTGGTCCCTTACCCCCTAGGGTCAGGGCCCAAGAGGCCGAGGGACAGTCACATGTCCAGTGTCTGTGTTGCCTGCACTTTGGGCAGGGCTTTGTGGGTGGTCTCGGGTTAGGACACGTTTTGGCCCAGTGTCCCTCTTTGCCGCATTTGAAGCAGGCCCCCGGTGGGGGTTTTTGTGGGCCCA